TTTAGAGCTCTGTTCCCTTGGGCTATCTCCTTTGAGACCTTTGGGGTAAAGTAATTGTTATTGAAGCAAAGGGGATAGAGTTAGGCCCCAAGTGTGGCACTGAGTCAGCTTTGGTTGGAAAAAAAAAGTTGTAACAGAACTGGCCTGTTTTTTGGCACATTTAAATTGTGCATGCCACGCTTCAGTGGAACCCAACAAAAAATGTAGTGTTGAAACAAGATACAAGGAGAATAGATCATTAAAGAAGTGCCAAACAGCTGCAAAACTGCAATTTTGCTGAATGTTGTTTCCCTTGAGGTTTTTTTTCTGATGCCTGAGAAGCTGCTATATTTACATCCTCTGCTGATGTTGCCACTAGACATTTTAGACTATGCGACACAGAAGCCAAAATGGATTTTGAAATGATAAAATAAGGGACAAACATATTTTAATCCTTCTTTTCCCAAATTAATAAATACCTCTAAATCTTCCTTCTGAAAAATACAATTAATTGGTATACATTTTTGGTTTTGTGAACTTGTCTTAACTAAACTAATTTATGTCACTTAGAGGGAAGGTAGTAATGACAGGCATACAATAGGTTTTCCATTAAACATGGAGAACTCCATTTCACGGAGTTTTCACACCAGTTGCTTTGTCAATATTGCTCTTGAGCCAAACTCTGTGCCAGATATAAAATCTTAGTCTTTTCAGATTCACAGCTGAGCTGTGTACAACTTTGTTGTACAAAAGTTAATCTTTCATTCTTCTGAAGTCCATTTATTATTCTTTCTCTTGTTCTTTTTGTCTCTTTGTATATAATGCCCTTAGGTAAATTTACTACCTGCTAACATTCTTTCTAGTTCAGGAATTTCCTGAAGCGAGAACCGAACAGAAAAATGTTAATTTTGCCTTTTTTTCTCATACTTTTTCTTTTTTCTTTCAATTTCTTGAGCATATTGTGCAAATACGTGATCTTGTTATTTTGGCTGCTGCATCTAATGTTACAAATTCAATGCTTGAGTTGTTAGGCTGTTACTCTGTTTGATGCTTTTTTATAAGCATCATTTCACTCCAGGTTTTCTTCCTTTTTTTAGTTCGCTTCTAAACAGGAAATGCAGTTCACTGTCAGCATCAGGCCAAATAAGATCCTGAGCATGGATTTTTACATCCATAGATGTAAAAAAAAAAAGGAAACTACATTTAATCATTGAGAATTTTCCATGTGATATTTGTAACTTTGAAATAGTCTAAAGCTTTAAATGGTTGCTTCTATTTGCAATTATTCATAATTCATAATCAAAATAAAATGTCAGCTTTGAGTTGTATGAATTCTGGTTGAGTGAATGGATATTTTTGGTAAGAGGAAAATCAGTGTTTGGGATAAAAAATCTGTCATTTTATACTGTGTAATGAAACACACAAACTTTCACCAGAGATCTATTGCTAATTTGCATATGCTGATCTATATGTTTCTACTTTAACTGAACTGAGAACAACTGAAAATTGAGTAACCTTTAATAGATTATTTTTAAAACAAGAGTTACGTTTTTTTGTTTCAGATTCCTTATGCATCATTGTATTATTTATCAGCACTAGCTAGTAAAATTCTCTTTTTTAACATTAAAAAAGTACTCCTAAAGTCTTAAGTCTTTCAATCTGGCAAATTTATAGCTAATAATGTATGCAAAAGTATTTTTGGAAGATAACAGGATCTGTGCACCTTAAAATTACTGGCCTCAAAAGACTGTCTATAATTTTGATTGTTCTTCTCAAATTTCTCAGTTTGACCAATCCATCCCTTAAGCCAGAACTTTTCGTTAGTAACCTTGTACTACATATGTGTAATCTAAAAGCAGGGTAGGAGTTGTTTCTTCCTTATGCCCGCCTCACTTGTTAAACCTGTAAATTCATTAAAACAAAGGTTGTTTAATTTTGGTTGAGTTTTGTGTAAGTTCTTTTATCTACTTATCTGCCTCTCTGCTTATCTTCAGGTTATTGGAGTCCAATTCAGCAGCTGCAGCAGAAAAGCCTTCTTTCTTCTTGCCCATCTTCTGAATACATTTTTATACTATGTGTTGCAGCCAATTATCAAAGAAGGTCATACTTCTGTTTTCATGGAGCTGCTTGTGGCCTGACTTAAAGTATTGAGCATGGGTCTTTTCTCACATTGAAAACATTTTTGACATTGAAAATACTTCTGACATTATAATTTGCTTCTAGTATATCAGTAACACAAGATATAGAACTTTATATGCTATTGAAATCTTTTGTAAAAGAAATCTTTTATAAAAGCTTTTATAAAACCTGCCATTGTAGGGAGTAAAGGGAAAAGGGAAGAGGTCACTGGAAAAAGCAGTACAGCTGTTTCCTTTCCTTTATTTCTTGATTAATCCAGGGTAATAATTCATTACAATTTCTGTTCCAAAAATTGACAGTCCTATGTAAATTTCAACCATTATTCAATTGCATTCATTGCTACATCCTTAGAATGTATTTGTAATGCTTAAAATCAGCATTCTCCAGCCCTCAGAATTGTTCTGGCTTCCTTAGCTAAGTCTTCTCCTCACTAATATTTCTATTATAAGCTTTTCGTGTGTTCAAACATTTCTGAGTTGCAAAGATAGGATCCTTGTAATGTTTAGGAATCACTACATCTGACCTTTCTGAAGAGAAATCAATTTCTGGTGGTTATTTAAAAAAAAATAGTAATAAAATAAACGTTTGTATTGTTTCAGATGCTGTTTTCCCAGTTTGCATGTCACACTACTATAAGCACATTCAAAAACAGAGGTGCTCACTAAAATTTAGCTCCTGCACATGTGTCTGAATGTTAATGCTATCCGTTTTTTCCCATGTGTCTAGCTTTCTAAGGAAAGAAACTTTTGGAAGATATATTTGTGATTCAGTTTCTAAATGACATGATTTGTGTAGAACCCAGCAGTGGCATCTGTATGAATTTACCATGTCCCAGACTATGTTTGAAATCCGTGTTCTGCATGCTCATTGTCAATGATTCCATAGGGTGTTTCAGAAGGTGAAAAAAAAAAAATGTTGTTCTCCCTGGCATGAGTGAAGAGGATCCTAAGCTGACCTTGGGTATTAGCTAGGAATTTGGAATATGCTGGAAAGAATTTAAGGTTGTAAACTATCCGAGGATGCATCCGAGACTATCTAGGATATAAAAATGCTACTTTCTGCACTGGTACTGAAGACTTAATAGTGGAAAAAATTCTTCCTTCCATGCTAAGAAGAAAAAAAAAAATCTAGAAGTCTTAGAAAAAAATGTTTGCCATATTTGGAAATTTGTAGAATGAATGCATTTTGCCTGTGACTGAAAATTAACTTGTTTAACTTATATTTAAATTTGAACAAGGCAACAAATAAGCTGAGTTGAGAAAGCTTTACTATTGTGTAGAAGTGGATTTGGTGAATGAAGCACTTTTGGCAGTTTTGCCACAAGGAATTCGTACAGATATTTCGGATATCTGGGTGGTCTTCCTCTGGCAGTAAAGGTAGAGGATGAATTTGCATAGGTTAATGGGTTCACTAGCTTTTTGGTAGTGGAAGTGAGAGGTAATGAATCCTCTCTCTGTATTATAATTTAGAGGTGCCTTTAAATCTCACCTAGGAAGTATCAAATAAACGTAAGAGTTTTTTTTCCACCTATGAGTTTTGAGATGCAGCTTGTTGTAAGATATTGATGTGATCCTTGTTTATGAGTTACAGCCTCAGTCCACTGAGGTGTTTCAACATATGTCTAACTTTTAACACGTGGGCAGTTGCCATGTGAAGGCTCTCATGCAGTTTTATATGGGATGTAATTTGTATCCGCATTCTTGCTCAGTACTTTTTTGTCAAGAGCTGTGCCATTTTAGTCAAACTGAGTATAAATATGATCATTTTAAATACAGAGTGAGACCTGACAGAGGCAAATTTATAGACCTGTGTGGATCCACTTTCATAGCCTAGCACTAGGGTAGATAAGATATTTTAGGTATTCTTTCTGATGAGGAAAGATAAGGTGGTAATGATTTGCCATGTCTGTTTCCTGCATTTAGTGACGAGGTAACTTGACTGACTTCAGCTATTTTACTTTTATTTTATCCTCAGAAGTAGTAATGTCTTCAAAAATAAAGAAAGGAAAACTATAAAAATCTTTGTGAACATCCCTTTATAGTGCTAAGGGTTTTTTTGACTATACAAAAGAATTACATTAGAAGGCCAATTTCCTATTACTTGTAGTATGTTCTTGAAGTAGATACTTGCTACGGGTCATTTCAGAAGGGAAAACTATAACCTATACAGTGTGATTAACCAGTTGTAAAGAAGTCCAATAACCTCAATGGTGTTACACTACTTAGGGTAGATATAAAGTTACCAGTACTGGCAAATCGTCTGTACTCTCTTGTGCTGTTAGCTTTATTATCAGTCTGATCAATATTACACGATTGGGACATCCTTCCACTATATACATGAAAACAATTATATTTTCCCAGCTATATTGTAATCTGAATATTTACTTTCAGAGTTCTGTCAGTTTGATCTGTTTACTCTGTTTCTTTTATTTCTGCCATTTTTTTTTCATTTTCTTTCTCCCTTTTTTTTTTTTTTTTCAATGTGGAGTGGGAGAATTGACAACCTGGCTGATTTGGAAGTATGAACTTTTACCTGAAACTGTCTGATGGTTCTTTATAGCTAGAAAGTGAACTTGTACAAAGTCTTGTATTTAAATAAAATAAAAAGTAGCATCAGCTGTTCAATGCCATAGAAGTACATCAAAACACCTTCTACTTTGAGAACATGGTCTTTTGCTCTTCCTTTAATGCAAGATAGTAATTTCAATAATAGGAGTAGTACAGAAATTATTGTTAGGCTTTCTTAAGATCACAGATTGAAATTTAGTCTGTTTCTTTAGTTAATAAAAGATAGCTGCTGTTTTGTAATACTGTTTGGATATATGCTCTCTGGCATTCAAGAATAGCCTTGCTGGCACTGATTACTTATTTTACTTTTTAAAGGCTATGGTTAAAAGTTTTATGGATGTCTACCAACTTGCAAGCTCCAGAGTTGGCATGTTAGAGAGAGAAATAGCATCTCATCAGCTTCACATTGCAGCCCTGAAGTCCGAGCTCCAAACAGCTTGTCTTCGTGAGAGTGAAAGCTTACAGTTGGTAAGTCTGCCTTTCAGGTCTTTTTTATCATTTGGATATACAGTTTCCTAGCTATCATTTCCCTTCATGTTGCATAGTTCCTCTAGGGAAATGCATAATATTTCATTATAAATACAATAAAACAATAAAAATAGTATCAACAAAAATTCTTTTGAGATTTCTTCAGAAGTGAATGTAGGATGATAAAAGTTAGCACTAGGATTAATCTTATTGCTGTATCTTGTACAGGGACATTGCTGCTATAGCTGAAAAAGTGCTACATTGTCAATTCTTTGTCTTTGGGAGTACAACCAAAAGTTGAATTTTGACCTAAAGAATTTAACTGTCTAAAGATACAGTGCCCTGTTAAAACAGACTGTAATTAATTGTGCATGTAACCAAAACATTAGTTAGGATACATGATTATTTCTTAGACAACTGTGCTTACAAATAATATATCTCACTAAAGGAAAACACTGTGATTCAGTTATCAGATAAAAATTCAATTTCAGAAATCATTTCTTTGCTATAATGTTGCTTCCCGCAAAGATACTTGGACTTGTTTAAGGCTAATAAGGTGATTCTTCAGATCTGGGATCTGTCTCTAGGGGGATTATTGAATGCAGATGTATTTGTGTCACACAGGCAGGAGGCCAGACTCATAAACTGTCACAAGTATGTAGCCAAGTATGTCTAGAATGAGGCTCTGTATGCAAGTTGAATATCTATTTTTTTCTCCTCCTTTCTTTACTTTTCTACACAAGATAAAGAGGAAAGCCTTGGAGTTTGTTGCTTTGGTTTGTTTTGGTTGGTTAGTTAGTTTTCAGTCCTTCACCATTTTGCTCCTCAAGAGTGAAAGAAAAGACTATAAAGAAAATGGAGATTGTTTTCTTTCTTTTTCTTCTTTAATATGAAAGAGCAGTCATTTAAGAAAATGGCATAAACACATCAACAAACAGATATTAAAAGGCTGTGGCTGTGACTTTGGTTGTGTTCCAAAGAACTGCATTAATTTCTTGTCATGCTTCTAAATTGATCATCATAAAGGGGGATTAGCACAAATTGAAAATATTTTCCTTGCTGCTGAATTTCATTTTTAAGACTCTTAGATGATAGTTGTTGAATGAAAGCATTGTTTCACTTGGGACTCTGACCATGTTTCCAAGAACTCACTGAAATTGCTTCACTGAGGTCGCTTCACTTTATCTTTTGTTCTCTGCTAGGTTTGAATGAGTCCTGCTGAGCTTGTGCCCTGTCTAATTGTTTGCTTCTTTGTCTGCATGTTATGATTGTTTTTGTTGTTTAAATCTACCATCCACTTCTATACTAAGGGTTGGGAAGTCTGCTACATTCACTGAAGTGAGGTTGGCTTTTGTTTGAATTGAGGTTCAAACCTTTTAGCAGAGGTTGTGCAAGTGCCGTATTTGAAGGGCTGTGCTGCGGCTTGGTGTGTCACGGTGTAAATAACAAACACCTCTCCACTTGCTCTCCCTGATTAATTGTAACCCATAGCAGGTTAATTTGTGATCAACATAAAGACCTTGGTGGTGTTGTAGGATCGGCAGGCTCACTTTACAGTCCAGTGGGGATGGGGGGAAGAGATCATCTCTTGAGCTCTTCAGCTTAAATGTAATGTAAGCAAACATATTAATAGAAAATGTTCTAAAATTTTAATGAAAAGCAAAAACAGTCGTAATAGTATTTTCTTAAGTTTCTTAAAACATAAGACTTGTTTGTCATAACAAATATTCACGGCATATTCTGTAATATTTATATTTTCTGTGAAGTTTGTTCTTAATATTTGCAAATGTATCAGTTTCAGTGGCATCATAGCTCTCCAGAGCGACTTTTACCTTTTAAGTCTTCAGTCCATATTGTTCTGTTCCATTTCTGAGGGGGGAGTTTTGCCCTGGATTTCTTTCTGTATGAAACAAGAAAATACAACTTTTTTTTCTTGTAATGGAGGCACTCTCTTTGATTTTTTTAAAGGGAAGTGATGTCTTTTCCCAGGCATCTGTTGGGTTTCAAAATTCTGCATATTTTTTTGCTTTCAATACATGGTGTTTAATCACATACAGAATAACGCTTGTTAGACTGGCAAAGCTTCTCGGGCAGGATGCAAGCACTGCACACCTGGACTGTTCTGGTTTATCCTGTATGCCAGTTTGCAGAACTCTCATCGTTTGCCATGTGTTCTAGAAAAAAAATCCTATCTAGAACAATTACTCTGTACTGAAAAAAGTTTTGTGAAGTCCTTTGTGAAGAGGTATGGTCTCTTTTTGTGTTGGGTCTGTTTTTATCTTTTCATGTCCTGTTTCCTGATATTTTCCATGCCATTTGCATATGATTCCATGCCTTCCCAACTGCCTGTTGCATCTATATCAAAGCAGTTCCCCAGCACTGGTCTGTTCAGAAGGTACTGTGTTCCTAACTGACCCCTTCATACTCATACCTGCCAACCACATGCGACTTCTTCCTCTGCTTCTGCTTAGGGTTTTGCTGATTATTGTAAAAACAAAAGTGATGCAACACGCCAGTGTCAGGTCTAAGCCTCTGAAGTGACATCTCCATTCTCCAGTCCACTCCTAGTGCCACTGCCTTCCTTCTTGTCAGTAGTGTTTAAACTGCTGTCTGTGCTCATGCCTACAGAGAAGAACAGGAAGGGGTATGATCGTGACAGACAAAGGTGAGGTGAACAATGGTTAGAGAGAAGAGAATAATTATGTGAGACTTTCCTATATTCTGTGTACATCTCTGTCCTTCTATCTCACACTTTCCTTAGGAAAGCTTAATGCACTTAAAGATGATCTTTAAGTGCATAAAGGTGAAAGCAAATCACCAATAGTATTTGTCCACACAGTTTGTGAATCTTTGTGAAGAACAGAACTAGCAAAGATGTTAGCTGAAGTGTTCCCATATTTCTTTTTCTCCTGCCTGTTTCTTCAGGAACGTCTGGTAATGTAGACATCACGAAGTGGACTTCCTGGTGTTTCCTGTTAAAGGAACGCTTACCATTTACTTCAACAAGTGCTTTGATCCATTTTATTTCTTCTTCAAATATGCTATCTTCTAACTATACTTAACTTCTATTCAGAATAGCAGTAATGAGTAGTCTGAGAGAACTGAGAGCTTTCGAGTGCTCTACTGTGCAGTAGTACGGTCATAAGCAATTACTTTTGGGGTGCTTTGGGGTAACCTCTGGCATCACATAATTCCTGTGGCAGCATGAGAGTCCATGGTATCTATCCTGACAGAGGACGGTGTCTTGCTGCAAGCACAGTGTTGTGAGTGGATGTAGTGACACTGTATTTTCCAGTGTGATCTCTGACACGTATGAGGAAGTGACAAAATTCAATTCATTATAATAGTTATCCAGAAGGTGTTGTTTTCATAGCTTTCAGCCTTGAGATTTCGTGCACTGGTGTCAGCACTAGTGTCAGAATTTTAAGAACCTAAAATATCCTGGTATCACTTTTGGCAGACAAAAAAGACACTGTTATTCTATTTCAGGTAGGTGTTTCTCTGATCCTGGATGTGCTGCTTTTTATCTCTGTGGCCTTTTCTCTTCTTCTGCATTGTCTACCTCTGGGCAAACCAGCGTAAGAAGAAAGAAAGTGATGCTTAAGTCACCCAGAAGCATCTGCCTGATCTGTTGATAACGCCTTCCTCCTCTGCTTTAACTTAAGAATGCAGGGAGAGTAGAAAATGAGTGAGAAAAGAGAATAATGTACGAAGATGATGGAGGAGGAAAAGCCTTGTGTCCACTGGAGAAATGGAAATTCGGGAAGCCAGAAGGAAAACTTTAACTGGAAGGGAGGGAGGGAAGGTGAGTGTAAGATGTCTGGAGAGAAGGATAAAGTGAAGATCTGCAAGAACAGCAGAGTTCTCAAACTGATGATGAAAACAAGAAGTGTTGTATTTGGATGCTTTCCTAACTTGTGTTGAATATCAAATCACTCTTTGCTTTATGTGGCTTTGCATCATCCTTACCCTTTTCTTCAGCACATCGTGGCTGGGCTATCCCGTGTCTGATAGTGCCTCATGATATCATGTAGAATATTGAATAGCCAAGGACTGTAGGCTTTGATAAGGTGAGAGAAGTAAGTGATCTAGTGTGTAAGAAACCCATATTCATTGTTAAGATGCTGGTAACTGAAATACACTTTGCAGCTTTTTACTGAGGAGCTGCATTAAACGTCGTGCAGGCTTTTCTTGCTACCAGCAGTCAGCCCTGAGCTTTCATGATGTCCTTGAACTCAGTTAGTGGTGGGGGGGGACAAGAGAAAATAAGTGTTTTAAACTCGGATTTATCAAGTAACTGCAGCACTGACAGATGCTCAGGCACTAGCCACACTGGTCGAAACAGGACTTTTTCATGTATCTCTCCCATGCTCTTGTCTTCCATGTCTCTGGCCTTGATCAGTGTACCAAGGCTGTAAGACCTGCTTTAACTGGGCAGCAGTTTTTAGAGGTACGGAGAGGGAACTAAAAACTGCCTTTTAGCTTTCTGTCTGCGAGAAGGGCACTCACTCCATCGGTGCAAGCGTTAAATGTCAGGGAATGTCTTTCATGGGCAGGAGCCATATCTTTTGTGTTAGAACATGGAATGACTGATGTAGCTGGGAGAATTCTTCCCAGATGTTGCAAGAGCAGATAGGTCCTGGATGAAAACTCTGCTTGGCTTTTCCACTACTTCATACTATCCTGATGCGCAGTTGAACTGAAAAGGTTTTTGGAAGCCTTTGAAATTTTTTTTTCTTTTTTTTAAAGGCTTAGAATTGGTTCCAGGGACCAATTTGGGTGTAAGAGGTACTGGTTCTTAATTTGGCCTGCAGAAAATAATCAGACTTAATATTTTCATCGTTACCTCTTTTCTTGCAGTGTTTTTTGGCAGTAGTCCAGGGTGGAATTCAGTAAGATGTAGACCTCAAATAATTATAACTTTTACTCAGTTTTCAGTTAAATACCAATGCAAGGTTTATTTACTATGAAAAATAGGAATGTTCTTAAAATGATAATAA